GGAAAGGTGTTCACAGGTTCTCAAGGCCTGGACAAAGCTACCGTGCGTGCAACTGTTTGCAAACATACCAGGCCGAGCCTGCGCCCACTTCCTCTCATTCTTTCCCCCACCCAAAGCTGGGTAGGGTGTGAGGGGTGCTAGCGTGCCAAGGAACAATGAGAAGCTCTCAGAAGAAAATTCTCCTGGTGGACTGGCCACTGCTACCCGCCCCCCTCTGTCCGTCTGCTGTCTGTCTGTCTCTATCTCCTCCACCAACTCCACTGTCATACTAGTGGCTCATAACTGTCATCCTAGCTCTTCAGGAGGCTGAGATCTGAGGATCAGGTTTAAAGCCAGCCTGGGCAGGAAAGTCTTAGAGACTCTTTGGGGTGTGTTTACTTTGTCACTCGTGGGGCTTGAACTCTGGGCCTGGGCGCTGTCCCTCAGCTCTTCAGCTCAAGGCTAGCACCCTACTACTTGAGCCACAGTGCCACTTGCGGCTTTTCTGCTTATGTGGTGCAGGGCCTCATGCACAGGAAGCAAGCACTCTACCAAAAGCCTTCTGGCTTTTTGGCTGGTTTATTGGAGAAATACATCTCACAGACTTTCCTGCCCCAGGATGGCTAGATGGATCCTTGAATGGTACAGGAATAACTCATTAAATTCCTCAATATGCTATATGTGTATTCCCACTAATACACACACACACACACACACAACGTAAACATGCAAATAAATATGCAGGGCTAAGGATGTGTCTCAATGGTAGAATTCTTATCTGGTATGCACAATCCCCAGCCTTGCAAAAATAAATAATAATTAGATATGTCTATCTAGGATAGTCCTAGAAGAGGATCACAATAGCTCAATAGCTATGTACATATGACCATATAAGATGATGCTAAGCAAAATAAACGCTAAGATATGGAAATTTAAAACAAATTGGATATGTCACTACAAATAGCAGTAAATGCTAATGAGAAGGAGCAAGGCTGGTCTGAGGCAGGTCTGGGCTGGGCACCAGCTGGGCAGAGTCTGGCACCTGTTATCCAGCCACATGGGAGGTGGAGACTTGATAGGATGGCAGCTGGATACCAGACCATGGCAAAAAAAAAAGTAAGAGATTCTATCCAAAACATAACTAAAGGAGGTTGGGTGCTGGTGGCTCATGCCTGTCATCCTAGCTACTCAGGAGGCTGAGGTTTAAGGGCTGGGAATGTGGCTTAGTGGTAGAGTGCTTGCCTAGAATGCATGAAGCCCTGGGTTCAATTCCTCAGTACCACATACACAGAAAAAGCCAGAAGAGGTACTATGGCTCAAGTGTAGAGCGCTAGCCTTGAGCAAAAAAAGTTCAGGGGACAGTGCACAGGCCACGTTCAAGCCCCAAAAGTGGCCACCCCCCAAAAACGTCTCACAGACGTACATTCCTGCTGGGCTGGCTTCAAATCATGACCCTCAGGAGTAGATAAGATTACAAAAGTGAGCCACCAGTGCCTGGCTTGAATTTTGTTTTGTTTTCTTTTTTGGAGGGTGGGGGAGAAGGGTGCAGAAAGGAGGAAGAATGAAAAAATGCAACCATGCTATTTAGTAGGCACTATGTGGAAAGTGAACCATGTAACTTATGAGTAAGGACAAGAGAGGAAAACTGGGGGAAAACAAAGAGCGGGGTGACATTGTCCCTGCAAAAAGAAATGTATTCATGGGGCTGGGAA